ACAGTTTCAGAAGGAAGTTAACTAAGTCAACAAAAGTTGATTTGACACATCTGTTGAGATGCGTTTTAAGCGCAAGCGATGAGTTTTGCTGGTGAGGCGAAAGTAGAGAGTAGCATGTAACACTGAAAGTGAGAGGTAAGTGCTGAATCTAGTCCTTCTTCTTGTCTCCGCCATCGCCAGTTACCGCAGCCAGTTCTTTCTGAAACATGAAAGACATCCAAAATCATTCCTCAGCACACGGTGATGTGGGAAGAGAGAAGGATACGACAACTGTGAAATGGTTCCCTTAGCCGTACCTGCAACTGTTGACACTCAGAGGAAACACGATCGTACTCCTTTGACACCTGCTCAGCTTGCTTCTTAAGGGCCTCCATCTGGGTCTCTGCGGCCTTGCGAGCTAGGAAATTTGGGACAGTTAACAACATTGACGCTCTTACCAGTCACCTCGGTGTCCAGTTTGGCTTTTAGCGCATCAATTTCGTCACGAAGGGCATCACTTTCGTGCTGCGACAGAAAAGAACATTTTAATATACAGGCGAGCAACAAGAAAGCATGTCCACCTCATCGGTGAATGCGGGACGGGTGGGATGATATAGAGAGTTGGATAGATTAATGAGCGTGTTGACTTCAAGCGATCGAGTCCAAAAGGCGTGAAAGCATAGTATAGCGTAACCTACATCCGAGGAGTCCTCTTGATCACCTTCAGTGTTTGTCATCAGCCGTCGGGCCGCTTCAGTGGCCGACTTGGCCTGCGCCAACGACGCCTCCCCTGCCGCTGTGACACGTGCGTGATCGGCGATCAGGATCACCAAACGCCTGAAGACGCTGGTATGGAAAGGTGAAGGAAATTTGATTATGCATGCTTGGATCAATCCATCTATCTGCTCCTTTCCTCGGGATGACAGTCTCTCCACATCCGTTACTTCGTGCATCCACCTCCATTCTCCTCAGCTACCCTTTGCTCCCCACCACTGTTTCCTTTCTGTGCCCATTAATTCGTCTGTCTCCACAACTCCGAACCTTCTGCCTACAGCTAAGTCCATTACCATCACCCCAGGGCAAGTGATTAGCAAGGTTGAGCCTCACGAGGCAGAAAACGTGTGTTAAAGCAATCAGATCACTCTTGGAATAGAATGAATGGACTGTCATTTAATTTTAAAAATCAACACTTCACCTACCCGATAAACTTTCAAGCGAACAAATAACAACACCCACTTTCGCATAGCATGAATGGCAATGCACACTCTTCATACAATTCAATATGATCGTTCATACGCAATCGACAACCTGCAGTGCGGGGGAAGCACTTCAAAGCTGAGTACTGAGCTGGTGTGGAAATAGAAGGCTTATTTAATATGGAAGGCAGTGAATACAAATCTCTGCACCAATGATGGGCACATTTTATGAATGCAGGACAGCCGCCTTCTTGGTTGTGCAAGGAAGATGATATGGAGTGGTTGAATGAAGTACGCCCTCCACACGAGAATGCATATGCCAAGGTACTCGCGATTTTAACAATGGCTAGCGCATTCGAAGCTCTAAATTCAAGTCTCCCAGTGATTCTTACGCTCCACTTCAGTGGGACTCAGCCGCAGCCTGAAAAGCGCACCATCGCAGCTAAGCAACCATCATCTTCCACACTATTCCACGGACAGGCGAGCGGATTACGGTAAACTAACACGGAAGTGGGAGGCGCACT